TGTAAAAAATCCAGTATCTGCAAAGTGCAATAAAGCAAAGCACAATAAAATGAGATATGCCTGTATTTCTGTTTTACACAGAAATGTAACCGCATTACATTGTGAACCGGCACAAGGATCCACCAATTCCCCTTCTTCGGCTAAGATGATAGATCATAAATTCAATCTCCTCAATATACACACATCATTGGTAATTATGTAGAGATGATGGATATGTTAATAAGCTTGATTGTGGTGATCATTTCACAATGTATATCCAATCAAGTTGTACACCTTAAGTATATATAAAAATAAAAATAAAATTTTTATATGTCAATGATATCTCAATAAAGCTGTTCTTACAAATCCAATAGCAAGGAGGATGGGAATACCATGATTAGCTTAGAGTTATCACCTAGGTCGGAATGGATGTAGGAAATCAATCACAATATCTGCATAGGCTGTCTCTTGCTTCAAAGTTACATTTTTTTAAATTAATTATTATTATTTTTTATTTATGATAGTCACACACACAGAGAGAGAGAGAGAGAGAGAGAGAGAGGCAGAGACACAGGCAGAGGGATAAGCAGGCTCCATGCACCGGGAGCCCGATGTGGGATTCGATCCCGGGTCTCCAGGATCATGCCTGGGGCCAAAGGCAGGCGCTAAACCGCTGTGCCACCCAGGGATCCCCAAAGGTACCTTTTGAACAAGGCTGTGCAAGCCAATCTCACCTCCCAGCGCTTTACTTCAAGTCTCTCCAACTTCTGCTCAGTCCCCATACCCCATTATAACTCATATCCCATAGCAGCTGGGGAGTTCATTAGGAAAGCCAATCAGAGAGACCTTTCCCTCCTTAATCTGACCTTGGCAGTCTCATCCTACTTGCCTTCTGTGAACACTCAGTACCTCATGATATAAAACACTTGCCCAGAACCCCAAAACATTTCCAATATATCTAGGCTTTCCTTCACTTCTGGCATTATGAGTTATGTTCAAGCATTCACTGTTGTCAAACATCAGTATTTTAGGCAAATACCAAAATTACATATATCTTACATATCAACCAGGGTAAAGTTAAAGTAAAAAGAAATCACATTTCAATGAATGGAAATGCAAGTTTTCACCTTGTTTAATATGTAAATAACTGTAGGATAATTGAAGGCTTTATAAGGACCAATACTGGAAAACAAAGGAGAGACAACTCTGATCCCACATTTGGCCTGCTGGAGCAGCCATCCAAACAGAACCAACTACCACAAACTAAGGTTATGTTATATGCATTTTCTGAGGCACTAGATAGGCTTTACTTCACAAATTATCTCCCTTTCTCCAATCTGTTTCCCTCTATTGACCTTTTAGGGAGGAAAGCACAGGGATGAAGGGTAGGTCAGCATTTGACTAAAATAACCTGGATTTGGAATACCTTGCACTCTCCCTTTCTAATCTGGGCCCAGCAGAATGGTGCTCTCACAAAGAAGAGCAGTGAGAAGGCCCACTCCGTCAGGGAGCTAGTGACCAGAGAACACACCATCAACATTCACAAGTGCATCATCCATGGAATAGGCTTCAAGAGGTATGCTCCTCGGGCACTCAGAGATCTGGAAATTTGCCATGAAGGAGAGGGGAACTTCACATGTGCTCATTGACTCCACAAAGAGTCTGGTGTCTGTCTGAACCAAAGAAAATAAGGAATGCCTCATAAAGGAATACACTGTATCGGCGCGCAGTTGTCCAGAATAAAGGTTTGCCAAATAAACTCTATATACATTAGATACTTATGTACCACCACTTTCAAAAACCTACAGTTGGTCAGTGTGGATAAGAAATGACCAGATGGTCAAATAGTTATGAAACCACCACACACACCCCCAAAAAGACCTAGATTTGAATCTAATTCCCAGGTATGCGATCTTTAGAAAGTTGCTTTCAATTTCTCTAGGCCTCAATTACTTCAAATGTAAATGGGACATAATGCCACCCTGTACAGGTGTTATAAAAAGTAAAAATATTAACATATGGAATGCTTAGACAGTATCTAATGCATAATAGCTTATTAGTATAAATAATCATCATTCCTACTAAACCTCATCTTAAACATTTAAAAAATCACATCTCCTTTCCCTTATGTCTTCCAACAATACATCTTTTCCTTCATAATCAAACTCCTTGCTTTTCTTTTCTTTAACTCGAGTACACTCGAACTCATTGAAATATGGTTGTCCCCCACCCCACTCAACTGACACTGCTCTCCCTAATGCCACCAAACACCTCTGTTACAATCCAACACCTTTTTTTAAAAAGATTTTATTTTTGAGAGAGAGAGAAAGAGCGTATGTATGAATGGGGTGGAGGGACAGAGGGAGAAGCAGAGCAGGGAGTCCAAAGTGGGGCCTGGTCCCATGACCCCTAAATCATGACCTGAGCTGAAGGCTTGGGCCACCCAGGCACCCTCCAACACCCTTTTTAGTTCTTATCTAACTTGTCCTCTTTACAATGTTTAGCCAGATCTTTCTGGACCTAGAAGCTCTCCTGCCATTTCTGTGGTACTACCCATTATCAGTTAGGTTGTTTTTGGCAGCAATTAAAAAATACCTCAATCCCAATCGGTTTAAATAAGAAAGCTATCTCATATAACAGGAGCGCTAACAAGGGCTGGCTTCCAGACCAGTTAATTCCATGGCGGAACATCACCAGAAATCTAGGTTCTACCATCCACAGCATCAGCTTCATCCTAAGATTCAATCCCCTCATCATCATAAAATGTCTGCCAGCAGTAAGGAGGGCAACATGCTTCCTGCTTCTTAATCAGAGGGATGGAGTAATCTCTTCCCAATCAGGAAATAAAGTCCTTGATCTGGTTGGGCCAATGTAGGTCACATTTCCCCCTTTGGAACAGTAACAGTCACCAAAGAAATGCCACGTACTGATTGGCTGAGGGTCTTTCCTGAATCCCATGGCTATGTGTGTGGGGGAGTGAACATCCTAACAGAATCAGGGCTTTCTTAGCAAAGAGGCAGGGAGGGATAGATGCTGAGTGAGTAACCGATAGTATCCACTATATTCACTTTCTTGATTTTCCCACTGGCTGCTCTTTTGTCTCCATTGTGCACTTCTCTCTCTTGGACTACTGCTTAAAATGTTATCATTTAATTTTAGTTTCAGACCTCTTCTACTCAGACTACACTCTATGTGCCATCACTTCCTTATCTTTGACTACTATCTCTAATCAAAGATACCTGTTATGTGTTATCTAATTGAGTCTAAACTGATGACTCCTAATTAAGGCATCTATTTCCATCAAAGTGTTTCTTCCAAGCTCCATACCATGAATTCCAAAAAATAAATACGTACTCAGTACTTCCTATGGTAGGCAGAATAATGTCACCCCACTCTCAAAGATGTGTATGTCTTAATCCCCAGAACCTATACATTTGTGAGGTTACATGGCAAAAGGCAATTAAGATTACAGATTGAATTAAAGTTGCTAATCAGCAGACTCGAACATAGGGAAGATTATAGATTATCCTGCAATATCCAGATGTGCTCTATTTAATTATAAATTTCTTTAAAAATGGAAGATGGAATGCTTGGGTAGCTCAATCGGTTGAGCACCTGGCTCTTGATTTTGGCTCAAGTGATGATCTCAGGGTGATGATCTCAGAGTCATGAGATCAAGCCCCGAGTGAGCCCCTAGTCTGGCTCCCCCTCAGCAGGGAGTCTGTTTTTCTTCCCTTCTCTCTGGCTCACATGCATGCACGCTCCCTCTCTCAAATAAACACTTTTTTTTTTTAGATTTTATTTATTTGAGAGAGCGAGCATGGGAGAAGGGAAGGGGCGGAGGAGAAGTATAAGCACACACCCAACTGAGTGTGGAGCCAGACATGGGGCTCAATCCCAGGACCCTAAGACCATGACCTGAGCTGAAGGCAGACATTTAACTGACTGAGCCACCCAGGTGCCCCCCAAATAGGTCTTTCAAAGTGGAAGGAGGCAGGGTGTTGAGAGTTTCACTAAACTACTCCATATAATTGCTGCCTTGGCATCCATTTTGTGTGGTTAAGCACACTAGCCTGTCTCTCAAGTGCATGAGGTGATAATCTATGCACTAAATAGCCTGCAGAATCACAAGTGTAGACTCCTGATGTAACTTCCCCAATGATCCTCATGATAAACAATCTCTCCTACCTTCCAACTGCTTCCCCTGTGCACCCCTTAGATAAGACTCCTCACTAAGCTTACCAAAACCCTGATCTTCTTGGTTTGAATTGGCTAATCTAGTCTGCCTGGGAACCCCAAAAGCATGGCCCTAATAAAGGCATGCCCCAGGTCCTTCTGTCCACTATCTGTCTGCACCTTGACCTTCCTATGTGGCCCCTCTGATGTATGCCATGTGCCTCCCCCAGGAACACTCCCCCAGAGTGAACTTCTCTAGTTCACTCTCCCTTGTGGTTTTTGGGAAAGAATCACTTACCATCTGACATACACCAGGGCTCTACTTAACAAATGTGAATTTAACAAAAATTACAACACAGGGAGAGGGGGAGAGGGAGAGGGGGGGAGGGAGGGAGAGAGAGAGAGAGATGGCAATGTGAGAAGGTCTCAGCCAGATGTCACAGGTTTTGTAAATGCAGGAAGGGGCCATAAGCCAAGGACTATGTATAAGCTCTAGAAGCTGGAAAAAGCAAGGAAAGAGATTTTCTCTTAAAGCCTCCAGAAAGAGTGCTGCCTTGCTGACATCCTGATTTTGACTGAGTGAGTCTCATTTTGGATTTCTGATCTCTGGAACTGTAAGATAATTTATTTGTGTTGCTTTAGGCCAAACGTCATGGGTTTGTTGGATTAAATGATGTGTGCAGAACAGTACCTGGCACACAGTTAATGCTATGTATGTAATTTTGTATTATTAATTTCCTGTCAGTAATTCATATAAAGGTAAGACCTAAATATTAAGAAGGAGCTCAAACCAATATGGGTAAACTATAAGAACTCTAACAAATAAAAAAACAATCAGACTAAAATTCAGCTTTGTCCTTTATATTTCCATGGTATACAATAATGAAAATACATGAAGATTGAACCACAGCAGCAACTTTCATCACTCGTCTTCACATTCATCAGAACTTTCTTCACTTAACTCCTCACTGCTTTCTCCTTCACTCTCACCGCTACTGTCTTCTTCACTATCTTCATCATCTTCCTCAAGATTTTGAGATTTCTCTGCCACAGAAAGGAAGAGAATTGCTTAAAATGTTCTTGATATTTGTACTCTTTGAAAAATAATTCTCCTTGCTTCTCTCTCTGCTAAGAAATATCTATCTTTGGAACATGAGGACTGAGTCAAAGTTTGCTAACTTGTATGCAGGCCCAAAGTAGTAGTACAAAAGGTATATTCTTACTGGTATAAAGATGTTTACAGATTTAGAGTAAATTCAAAACACAGATCTATGCAAGTATTTTACTACTGTTACCATAATTCTTAATGAAATAGAAGTAAGTAAGATGTATGGTAATTTAGAGGGTACTGGTTTTCCTTGGAATTGTGGGCTAGCTAGTCTAACGTGCGGCAATTAGCACATTTTGTTCCCTGTGAAGACTGTCATTGCTGATGCCTGGTGTCCAGTGAGCCTGCTAGTTAGTTAGTTAGATTCTATCTATCTATCTATCTATCTATCTATCTATCTATCTATCTATCTATCTATCATCTATTTATTTTAGTCACAGAGAGAGAGAGAGAGGCAGAGACACAGGCAGAGGGAGAAGCAGGCTCCATGCACCGGGAGCCCAACGTGGGATTCGATCCCGGATCTCCAGGATCGCGCCCTGGGCCAAAGGCAGGTGCCAAATCGCTGCGCCACCCAGGGATCCCCAGTGAGCCTGCTTTACGGGCAGTTCCACCCCACAGAGAAAAGGGAGACACCTTAACCACCCACCCACAAAGGACAATCTGGCTTCATGAAACCATCCAAAGATAACCAGTTAGCCTTTTCTTTTCTTTTTTTTTTTTCCAGGGAGTCTTTTCTTAACCACTTCCTGAGAGTGTACTTCACTAGTCTCCTGGGATAATAGGTTTTGAAATAGTGACTGCTCATAGTTCTACGAGAAAGAAATTTCCATTTTTAAATTTACCCATCAGCAACATTTCTTCAATAAGTGAGAAAAACTCCTTGGCCTCAGGATTTTCTGGTTCATAGATTAGGACTGAAAATAGACAACAGAATGTTTGTTATTGTTTTTTTTTAAGATTTTATTCATTCATTCATTCATTCATTCATTCATTCTTTCATCCATTCATTCATGAGAGACACACAGAGAGAGAGAGGCAGACACACAGACAGAGGGAGAAGCAGGATGTGGGACTCGATCCCAGGGCCCACGATTACACCCTGAGCCAAAGGCAGACGCTCAACCACTGAGCCATCCAGGTGCCCCAGAACGTTTGTTATTAGTCTTCAAAGTGTTTTGGCAAACAGGCTCCTCAGAATGAGATTGGAGCTGTCAATCAGAATCAGTGAATATGCACAAAGCCATAAATACCAACAATTATACCATAGGAATACCTAAGTGCAAACAGAGAAAATGTTCTGGTTATTGTGGTGTGTTGTAAGAGAAATAAATGCTCATTAGTTTCTACCACCTGTCTAAAGAATGCCATCTCTATCACTATGAAGCTTTCCTCACAGATCTTGTAGCCAAGTATTTCTTGACTGTAACCATTCCCCAAACAAGGGACATATCCTGCAAAATGTGGAGGCTTCACTAATGAGAAGTGCCTTGAGGAGTATTCATAATTCTGTTTTATCCATTTAGTGTTGTGACTCTCATGTAATATCTTGATGGCCCCCAGGGGGCACTGAAACATCAAGTGTGCCATTCACTTGGCTAAGAGTAAGACAAATAATTGTGGATGGTTCAACTTGGCTCCAGTGCTCTTAGGACATCCTCCCACGTGGCTTTCATCCTGACACAGCAAACTAGTGTCTCTCTTTCCTAATCTACCTACGAAACAATTTACCATCGATCTGGGTTAGCATGACTGTGCACCTACTCAGAAGCTGCTTTTAAGGATCCTACAGGTAGGTATTTAGACACCTTCTAAGGTTTGTTTTCCCCCCCCCCCCCTTTTAAGGTTTCTAATAAAAGGATCTTTTAATTCATTTTAAGTTGAACTAAAATATGCTTATCATTAGCAGTCTAAATCTTTCTCCGAGCCTCTTTCTAGAGCAGTTTCTCCAACTTGCCCCTTGAGATACTAGGTTCTTAAGATGTTAATGCGTATTTGGGAAACTAGGTCAAGTGAGGTTAGTCAGGTATGGTATACACTAGGAGCAAATACAGGATTTTACAGAACCATTAATATGCTTATAACTATTTGAATTTTATAGAGTAGAGAATGTGGTTTCCCCAACTTATTCCCACAGAATCCTTTTTGATGGAACACTTAATAAGAAATCTTGAACACAGTTTAGAAAATTTCATGTTGGACTTAGGGTTATTCCATGGGACTGGGGTATGGAATCAGCTACTCTTAATAATTTAACAAAAACCATTGACAAATGTTAATTTTCAAAGTGAGGGAAAGATATCTGCTTTCAAACTTAGCCCAGAAATTTGCATTCTAGGCGATGAACCAAAAATTCTCCTTAATGATTCACAGGCTAAGTAGGGTTTGTAAAAGGATAAGAAAACCTCTAGCACATTCAGTTAGTGTCCTGGGAGTTGTTTCTGACTTGAGCCCCTGAGCAGATCCAGTGTGGACTCTGAAGAAAGACTGTCAGATGTGAGTCCTGGTTCTGCCACTGCCTAGTTGGGTCTCCTTGAGGAAAATATTTAATATATCTGTACCTCAGTTTCCCTATCTGTAATAACACTATTGGACCACATTAAGCTGTTCTGGTGAATCAATGAGATAATGTAGATAAAGCACTTAGTCCAGTCCTTGGTGCACGGTAAGTGCCAAATAACGGCTGATTATCATTAGTTTTCCAGAAATGGCTTTGGACCTTGAGAAAAGCTCAGCTACTTCCTAAACATTCAGTGGATGTTTCCCTCTGGCTAAAGAGCTGGGGCAGGAGCTGGGGGATTCTGCTGCTCATAGGGCTCTGAATCCCTCTGACTGGAGCCTATTCTAGGGTAGAGAGAACATTGGTCTTGTTCACTGCTGCCTGCCTAGAAGAGTGCCTGACACAACCAGAGCCCTCAAAACATTAAAAAATGGAATAAGTGAATAGGAAGCAGTTTATGCCTAGATAAAATTATACTCTAATAGTAAAAAGTGATTTATTTCACTCAAAAGAAAGAAAGAAAACTGTATTGTAACTATCCTTTCTGAAGATACATGTATCTGCATTTGTGTTATACAAACTGATGAGAAACATTTAGGTTCTCAGGTCACTATTTTTTTTTAAAGATTTTATTTATTTATCCATGAGAGACACAGAGAGAGGCAGAGACACAGGCAGAGGGAGAAGCAGGCTCCATGCAGGGAGCCCGATGTGGGACTTGATCCCGGGACTCCAGGATCATGCCCTGAGCAGATGTTCAACCACTGAGCCACCCAGGCGTCCCTCAGGCCATTATTTTTAAACACTTACAACTATTATTGATGAAGTAGGTCTCCCAGGCCTAACTACTTTTCTGTGTAACATCTTGGGCTGCCTGTGAGCAGCACTGTTGTGCCCTGAGAAGACTGAGCTGCAGGTTCCTTACAGGTAAAGGGACCAATAAATAGAAAGACTGACTAGCACAAAATCTCACAATCATGATATGAACTAAGAAAAGTACTTGGGACTCTTGAATTTCAGTCTCATTTAAAAACCATTTTTCCAGGATGCCTCCAATGCCTGGCAAGAAAGGGCATATAGCTGAGATAGCAGTTCTGCATGACATGGCAGGAAAATGGCTGAGGAAATCTTAAGCACATAGAAAAACTGTGTGTGAAAGACACATAAATTCAAGCTTTCACTGACGAATAAAATTTCTTGGGGGAACCCAATACCAATTTCTTTTCAAAGTCAGGACAAAGAAAAGAAACCACAGGCACCTGGAACACCAGGTGGGAAGCCCTGAAGCCCAATGGAGATATAAATGAGTATACTGTGATGGGACAGCAAGGAAACATACTAGCAACTAGTGGCTTTATTTGGAAAATGAATTCATAAAGCATTTCAGAAAGGACAAGGATGCATTATTTTATATAAATTAATTGCCTTAGATACAAAGAAAATAAATATATTAGTTGACCATAGGAGCCATTTCAAGGCTGACTGACCCATTAAAAATCCCCTAAGTCCCTGCCTCCTTGACCAGAGATATGAGTTTATTGATCAAATGAGGAACTTAAAGTATAGTAGGATAACATAGGCATTCAAGTCAGACCTAGGATCTAATCCTAACTTTTCCTCCTAGTGGCTGTGTGACTTTGGTGAATCAGTATTCCTTGCTAAGACTCCGTTTCCTCATCTGTAAAGTGGGGTTTGTAGTATATGCCTCATTGAATTAAGAATGAAACAAGGTATTCAAGAATGCTCCATTACCAGGTGCTTGATATATGCATATATAAATACATAAATATGCAAATAATCTGTTTACATACATAAATATACAAATAAAGACAGAAAAGGTAAGTGTTCTGTAGAAGATGCTACAAGAGATAGTAAAAAAGACAAACAATACAATGTAAACACTTACATATAAAATATTTTGGGGTCCATCCTAGATGAAGGAAATTCATTTTGTCTATTTTCTGAATATAGAGAGGGATTCTGGGCCATTCTCAGCCAAGTGCTTCCTATGAGCATCAAACTAGTACTGTACTTCTCCCTGAGACAGAGCATCTCCAACTCTGTTCTTTATCGAACCGTTTTAACATTGCAAATGCTGGGTCTTCCTAATTTCATACCACTGGCTGGAATCTAATCTAATCCTATTTGGCATGCACCCAGCCCCAACTCATTCTCCAACCTCTCCAACCAAGTTTCCAGTCACCTCCCTTCCTCTTGGGAGCAGCCTTCTTCCCCAGCTGGCTCCCTAGATCATGGTGCTTGTCTTAGGGTCCTCTACAGCTCCTTTTCCTAGAGCCTAATCCTTAGTTTGAGGTGCTATTTGACATAGACAGAAAAGAGTGACTAATATTTCTAGAAGAGTCAGTAGGGGTGAAAACCAAACCAAACCATGGTTGATGTCAACCTCCTGCTGTCTCTCCAGCTCCCAGCATAATGTCTGGTACAGAGCTGGTGCTTAATATGTAGTTGTTGGAAGAAAGGGAGAGAGGAAGAGAGGCATTTTACAGGGACATCACCCCATTAGGATAGAGCAGCTTGAACTTTTTCTTCCTTACTGACCTGGCACTTAATGTGTGTTCACTGCTTTGAGTCAGGTCAATAAGCATTTTATTAAGCACCTACTGTTTATGAAGCATATGCAGGGCTAACAGCCCAAACTGTCTGACAGATGTGGTGATATCAGTGTATATATTTTGTGAGCTTCAGCCAAATGCTTTCTAAAATGATTGACAGATATGGAAATACAATATATAAATTTTCCCATAACTAGGCTCCACAAGAAACTCAGAGAACTGAGGGTGAAAGCTACAGACTTATTCACTTCTACACCAGTCCTCAGAGAAGAAAGGTGCTGCAGGAGGTGGCAGCTTGAGTTCCAGTTCTGGCTGTGCCACGAGCTCCCTGAATAGGGCTGAGCAAGCTGCTTATTCTCTCTCTGCTTTTGCTTCATTATATTTATAAAAAATAGATGACTACACATGATTCTCCTGAAGGGTTCCTTCTGCTCAGAAATTCTGTTTGTGTACCACCCAAAATATTTTATTTGGTGGCTCTAAAGGCCAAAGTGCTTGAAAGGATTATGCAAGGCAAATTATTTTGGATATAAAATAAGTAGTGTTAAAGCATTCAAGAAACTCATTTTAAAAACTAGCTAATGACTTAAGAAGTTCTGTATCTGTGTTGAGAGTTTGTGTGAGGTAAGCGAGAGAAAATCCTCACAATCCCTATACTACATTTTCACTCCAGGACTTTTACTGTAAAGACTTGGGTCTAACACTAGTTAATATTTTGAGTCCCACTGTCAATAAAGTTTAATTGTAAAGTTGCCGTTTTCGCTTTCAAAACAATTATGACTAATGTATTCTAGAATAATAGTTGAAAAGACTGGATTTCAAAAGACAGTTGAGCTGGAATCTTTCAAAATCATTAAGTGGACTTTTGAAAATTAGAAAGTAAAACCTTTGAAATTAAGAATTCACTGGATAGGGACACTTGGGTGGCTCAGCAGTTGGGTGCCTGCTTTCGGCCCAGGGTGTGATCCTGGAGTCCCGGGATCGAGTCCCACATCGGGCTGTCTTCATGGAGCCTGCCTCTTTTTCTGCCTGTGTCTCTGCCTCTCTTTCTGTGTGTCGCTCATAAATAAATAAATAAAATCTTAAAAAAAAAAAGAACTCAATGAATAGCTTAAACAGCATTTCAGAGACGAAGATAGGATAACTTAAAAACAGGTAGGTCAACAGAAAAATTCCAAAATGAAGTATAGAAATAAAAAAAAAAAGTAGAAAAACAGGAGCTGAGTATACATCAGCCAAACCACTAAAAACCAAAGAAAGAAAAATAACAATAGATCATTTCATTTCTCTACTTAAAAGTATCCAATGCTCAGAGGAAAAGCCAAATCCTCAAATTGTGAAAAGGTACTATGCAATCTAGAGAACCCCCAAACCATAATATCTCTGACCTCACCTCCTGTCACACCTCCCTTTTCATATTCTATTCTGGTTACACTGTCCTCCTCCTTGCTGTTCCTCCTTCCTCCTTGCTGTTCCTCATCAGGCACACTCACGTCTTGGCACATTTGCTATGAGTCCTGCCTTCCTGGACCATCCTTTTTTTTTAAGATTTTATTTATTTATTCATGAGAGACATACACACAGAGGCAGAGACACAGGCAGAGGGAGAAGCAGGCCCCATGCAGGGAGCCTGGTGTGGGACTCGATCCTGGGTCTCCAGGATCACACCCTGGGCTGAAGGGGGCACTAAACCACTGAGCCACCAGAGCTGCCCTTCCTGGACCATCCTATTCAAAACTGCTTTGCCTCTTCTTTCTAGTATTTTCTATCCTTCTTCTCTATTTTTTCCCAATAGCACCTATCGTTTACAACATGCTAATTATATATGAATGTGTTACCTGTTGGATGCTAGATACAAACATGGGATTATCTGTCTTATTGATGGCTGTATTCCAATGTCTAAAACAGTGCCTGGCACATGTAGACTCAAATATTTGTGAACTAAATGCATGTTTAAGTAAGGTTTGCTGCACTACCTGACACTTCTTTGAAACTAAAGGCACAGTTACTAACCCTTTATAATGAAGGTAAAGATCTTATTTTCCAGTGATGATTAGTTTTTGTCCATTCAAAGTTATTTTTAGAAGTCTGTTTATTTAAAAGATTTTATTTATTTATTCACGAGAGACACAGAGAGAAAGAGGCAGAGACACAGGCAGAGGGAGAAGCAGGCTCCATGCAGAGAACCTGATGTGGGAGTTGATCCCCGGTCTCCAGGATCACATCCAGGGCTGAAGGTGGTGCTAAACCACTGAGCCACTCAGGCTGCCCTATTTTAGAAGTTTAAATTAGTCCTTATACCAATCAATTTATTAATAAGGAATAACTGAGACACTATCAGGGAATTCATGAGGCCATAATAATCAGACCATCTCACTTATTATGGAATTCATTTAAAAATTAGAAAACAGGGATCCCTGGGTGGCGCAGCGGTTTGGCGCCTGCCTTTGGCCCGGGGCGCGATCCTGGAGACCCAGGATCGAATCCCACGTTGGGCTCCCGGTGCATGGAGCCTGCTTCTCCCTCTGCCTGTGTCTCTGCCTCTCTCTCTCTCTCTCTCACTATCATAAATAAATAAATAAATAAAAAAATTAAAAAAAAATTAGAAAACAGACAAGTATTTTGTACTTACTCATCTGACATAATTTTTTTGCCAAATGGTAGTCTTGACCCATTTCTGCTCGTAGGAACTGGAAAACATTAAGAAATTCTTCAGATAAGTATTTTCAGAGAGAATTTAAATGTTAATTTTAAACTCCCTAAAAAATATTCCATTAATGATTAACTATTTGGCTTTTAACATTTACACATTTTTCCAGGAGTGAGTCTGTAATCAGTCAATTAATTAAGAATATGTAAGGATTTCCCATGGCAAGACAACACAGAACAAGTATGATACCTCCATATTGCTGAAGCCATACAATATATGTACTACTTAACAATTTGAGAATACATAAGTTGATTCAACTGGCAGAGACAGTAAAGACATTAATTGCTTTAATATCCCTTTGGTTCAGATATAACGTTTATTTGTAAACTTCATCCATGATTACATGACAATATTAAAAAAATATTTACAATTATGTATATTTAATATTTTCTAGCTCTTATACCATCTAGTTTCTGTTTTACTATTTTAATATTTTTATTGTTACAAAGTAATACATATTCTTTTATGTAGAAAATTTAAAAACTAAATAAACACATTTTGTCCTCAGTTAAAAAGCATTTATATTTCTACCATCCAGAGATTTTTTTAGCATCTTCATATATATCATTTTAGTATTTTTCCATAAATGAACACATATGTACAAAAACTAGGATTATTCAGTAACCTTTTATTTTTTTATTTTTTTTAAAGATTTTATTTATTCATTCATGAGAGACAGAGAGAGAGAGAGAGAGAGAGGCAGAGACACAGGCAGAGGGAGAAGCAGGCTCCATGCACCGGGAGCCCGACGTGGGATTCGATCCCGGGTCTCCAGGATCGCGCCCTGGGCCAAAGGCAGGCGCCAAACCGCTGCGCCACCCAGGGATCCCATCAGTAACCTTTTAAAAATAAACCACATATCATGATAATTTTCTCCCCATAAAACTAGTCTTAAATTTTTTTACTTAGGCTACAATTTACTAAACTAATCCCCTATTCTAACGTATTTAGACTGCTTCCATTAAAAAATAACCCTATACTGGGATCTCTGGGTGGCACAGCGGTTTGGCGCCTGCCTTTGGCCCAGGGCGCGATCCTGGAGACCCGGGATCGAATCCCACATTAGGCTCCCGGTGCATGGAGCCTGCTTCTCCCTCTGCCTGTGTCTCTGCCTCTCTCTCTCTCTCTCACTATCATAAATAAATAAATAAATAAATAAATAAATAAATAAATAAATGAATGAATAAATAAATAAATAAATAACCCTATACTTAGATGATTGTTCTTGCTTGTGTGAGATATATTCTGAAAACAGTCAGGTATACTAGGCTTACTTGGCAAAAGACAGGGGCATGGAGTATTAGAAGAGATACTTCCCACACATTTCCAGACATGTGATACATACCCAGGCACCACTTTTTTTTTTTTAAGATTTTATTTTTTAATTCACGAGAGACACACAGAGAGAAGCAGAGACATAGGCAGAGGGAGAAGCAGGCTCCCTATGAGAACCCCAATGCCAAACTCAATCCCAGGACTCTGGGATCACAACCCGAGCCAAAGCCTGCTCAACCACTCAGCCACCCAGGTGTCCCAGAATTCTCTTATATTCTTAAAATCAATATTTGTCTAAGGTTAAGATCTGTCTACTCCTATTTGTAGTTTCCTTCCATTTTAATTATGGTATCTTGTGGTTTATCTATGTCATTCTTTTTTCAAATATCCTGCTTTTAAATAGATACATTAATTTGGTTTTTACTTTGAATTTTATATAATTCTTTTTCTTATTTACCTTATATTTATTTTGTTCTTTTTCTAAACTCTGTCATTAATATTTAGTTCATTTGTTGTCATTCCTCCTTTAATCATCATCGTCATCAAAGCATTTGAAACTGTGCTCTTTTCACAAGTTTTAAAATTTAATGTTGTAGTTATTATTTTCTAAATAGTTTGTGAGTTTAGTTTTTATTTTGATTTTTAATTCAAGTGTCATCTAGAAGAATATCTTTTAGTTTTAAGTAGTTTTAATTTGTGGGGTCCGTGGGTGGCTCAGTTGGCTGGGCATCTGCCTTTGGCTCAAGTCAAGATCCTGGAGCCCTGGTATCGAGCCCTGCATGGGGCTCCCTGCTCAGCAGGGAGTCTGCTTCTCCCTCTGACCTTCTCCCCTCTCATGTGCTCTCTCTCAAATAAGTAAATAAAATCTTTTTTTTAAGTAGTTTTATTATTGTAGTCATTTTTATTTTCAATGTGTAGTTTAATTGATCATAGAGAATGAGATCAATATAATATACAGTTACTATTTATGTTTTTAATATCTTTATGGGAAATTTAAATATCCACAGTAGAAAAAATAGTAAAAGAAGTACATGTCCCCAATTCTCACCTCCAAAAATTAAATTATTTTATTTATTAATTATTATTATTGTTTTGCCTGCCTAGACTATTTTAAAGCCTTTTACAGATATCATCTCATTTCACTTTAAAAACCCAATGACACTATGGTTATTACATCTAACAAAATTAAGAAGAATTTCTCAATATCAACTAAGATCTACTCTAATGAAGCATTATGTTATTAATACTAGCCTCAGAAAATGACAAGAACATGGAATCAATTTCAAAGTGCCCTTTGTATTGACCTATATTTTTTTGTTGTGTTAACACAAATATACTGTTAAAGGATTTCCTTTTAATAGTTCAAAATACAGTGAAATTTGGCTAAAGACTTTGATGAGAATTGCCTAAAAGTTCAAAGTCAAGCTAAAGTTTAGTGAGAAAACGTTTTTTAAAACTGGTTTTAAATTATTTGTGACATTCAAAATAAGGAGTTAGGACTTCCGGGAAGATGGCAGAGTAGGAGGACCCTAAGCTCACTTCATCCCATAGATACAATTAGATGACACTCATCCTTGCAAACAACACAGATGAAGAACCAAAGAGAGGCCAAACAAACTCCACAACTGGATGTAGAGAAGAGGCCACATTGAAGAGGATAGAAAGGGTGAGGACTCTTTGGGAACTTAAAGTCAACGGAACTAAACACTGGGGGAGGGAGCCATGGGCATGAAGAGGTATGAGACACAGACTATCACATGGGGGAGCCTCCAAGGGGAAGAAGAATCCCCATAACATCTGGCTTTGAAAATCAGAGGAGGTGAATTCTGGGAGTGCTTACAACCATAGGGACTTAAAGCCTAGAACTTTAAAAATCAGCAGGCTTGGCTCTGGAAGAGCCCAAAGGGCAATAGGAAGTTGAGGCCCAACCATTTAAAGAGACAGCACAGCAAACAGCCTGCAGAGATACAGCTTTGAAACAGCTTGAAAGGGCCTGGAGCCTATGGGAGCAAGAGTTAGTTACAGAGCTCAGAGTTTGCTGAGGAACTTCTCCAGGAACAAATCTGCTGGAAGACTCCATTTCCCTCCCTTGCCCCTCATCATTAACACACAACAACCCACCCATGGGAACCAGCACAGCATTGGCATTCACTACTAATTTCTTTACACTGCACCCCACCCCTCCAGCCAGGCCTGACTTGGTTCTGGTGTTGCACATCAGCTCCCCCAGAAAACCCCCACAAACTTTGCCAACACTGCCTCTCCTGACCTTTCATGGAGGACATGTGCACCTTGTTAAAAGAGCACCTCCTGCCCACATGTGCTTTGCCAAGCAGTCAACCAGCTCTATATCTGTGGTGGCTATGCATCCCCTGTGGAGGACCAGTGCCACCTAGTTAAAAGTGCACATCCTGCCCAGTACTTTCAAGAGCAAGAGACTGTAGCTAACTTTCTTCTTTTTTTTTTAAGTTTTTTTATTTATTCATGACACACACACACACACACAGAGAGAGAGAGAGAGAGAGAGAGAGAGAGCGCACCAGAGACACAGGCAGAGGGAGGAGTAGGCTCCATGTAGGGAGCCTGACGTGGGACTCGATCCTGGGTCTCCAGGATCATGCCCTGGGCCAAAGGCGGTGTAAACCACTGAGCCACCCAGGCTGCCCTGTAGCTAACTTTCTTAATACAAAAAAACAGACACAGAGAGTCACGCAAAATGAAGAGACAGAGGAATATATCACAAATGAAAGAACAGGACAAAATCACCACAAGAGACCTAAGCAAAACAGATATAAGTAATATGTCTGATAGAGAATTTAAAGTTATGATCATAAAGATATTCACTGGACTTGAGAAAAGAGTATAGATATCAGTGAGATCCTTAACACAGGAAAAAGAAACGATCAGAAATAACACAATAAATGAAATTAAAAATATACTTGATGGAATAAATAGCAGGCTGGACTAAGCAGAGGAACAAATTAATGAACCAAAAGTCAAAGTAATGGAAAATAATCAGACTGAACAAATGAGAGTAAAAAGAATTATATAAAATGAGAATAGACATGGAAATCAGTGACTCCATCACGTATAATAACATTCAAATTATAGGGATCCCAGAAGAAGAACAGAGAGAAAAGGAGGCAGAAAATGTATTTGAAAAAAATAACAGCTGAAAGCGTCCCTAATATGGGGATGAAAACAGATATCTAGACCTAGGAGGCACAGAGATCCCACAACAAAATCAACCAAAGGTGATCCACACCAAGACACAGTAATCAAAATGGCAAAAAGTATGACAAAAAAATTTTTTTAAGCAGCAAGAGAAAAAACAGTTACATATAAGGGAAACCCCATGAGGCTAGCAGATTTGTCAGCTGAAACTTGCAGCCAAAAATACTTTATCCAGTAAGGCTATCATTTAGAATAGAATGACAGATAAAGAATTTCTCAAACAAAAACTAAAGGATTTCATGAACACTAAATCAGCCCTACAAGAAATATTAAAACTTTTTGAGTGGAAAAGACAGACCATAGTGAAAGTATAAAAAGTAGGAGACAGAGAAACAGTAAAACTAAGTGCTTCTGTAAAAAATCATTCAAGGGATTCACAAAATGAAAGGATATAAGATATGACACCAGATACCTAAAGCATGATGAGGAGAGAAGTAATTAATGGGTTCAAACTTAAGTGCTCATCAACTT